GTAGAGATCCTGGAGGTAAAACTCACAAAAGTGTGCCCCCTCCCAAGACTGGGCCCCTGTGGAGTTTTTAACTCTGAGGCATGTGACACTGAGCCTCCAGCAATTCATCAACTCCAGTTCAGCTTTACTCTGGCAGTGGTAACTGTGGAGGTTTCTGCTCATGTGTTTCTGCTCCTGTTAGTTGTGCTGTTCTATATCCACTTTGTCTCCCTAAATCCGGGCATGGGGGGGACAGGGAGGGGGTTGCTCTTTGACCTCACTTGTCTGAAGAATCTAAAAAGAATTGTTGATTTTTCAGTTTGTTCACCTTTTTACTTGCTAGGATGGAGTGGCAATTCACAGTCTTCTTGTTTAATTAAAAATGTTTTAATATAATTTAAGTAAAGGCATAAACACAGTCATATGAGACCTTCATTTATGTTTCAATCTTTCTTTTTGTTTGTCCATCTTAGCCTGGTACTTCCCTCACTTCCCCACATGCATCCAGTGCCCATTTTTCACCAACCAAGGTAACGTGTTAATAACCTAGTATGTTTACTTCCATGTTTTTCTCCATAGACCCTATATCCATATATATGCATACATACTCAAAGTTATTTGGCATTGGTTTAATAGGAACAAGATCATATTATGCATATTTTTCAGAATATCACTTTCTTCACAAACTAAACCTCTTGGAAATTAGTGCAATTCAACTGGTATAGCTTTAATTTATTCTTTTTAATGTCTACATAATAGTCAATAGAAAGGATATGCTTTCAGTTAATTCAGCTGTAACCTTATTGTATTCTCATAATAGCATTTTTAAAAGAATTCTCAATAGTATTCTCAAAAGACTCTTGGTGTTTATGAGCCAAGGTTTAAGAAACCATCAGCTCAGAGTACACTACACCTGGAATAAGGAAATATGAGTTTAGTTTTTACATGCTACATTTTTACAATTGTCAATAAAGAAGCTATTAACTTTTAAAGATCTATACATCTCCAAAGGGGAAGAGACAAGAAAAAAATTTTGTAAAAACCCATATCTAGTTGTTTCACAAAATGACCAGATGACAGATAAGACAAAAGAATTTTTCTTATGCAAAAGAAATTCCTCGATAGAGTGGAAAACACTCCACTTCTACTGCTGATGCTACCATCTACCATCTAAGTAAGCGACTGAGACGTAGGCAGATTCTAAGATGGTCCCCAGGATCAGCATGCTCTAGTTAAATGCCCTGTATAACCCCTTCCCTTGAAGGAGTGGGACTGTGCTTAGGACGGGTTTCACTCCTGTGATTATGCTATATGATGAAAGTGAAGGCCCCAAATAATCAGTTGATCTTGAGTTAACCAAAAGGGAGATTATCCGAGGTGTCCTATTTAATTGGACTGCAGCCCCTAATAACGGTCAGAAATTTAAAGAGAGAAAGAGATATTTCCTTCTTCTGGCTTTACTATGCTGTGAGAGTTTACATGGTTAGGACTGGAGGATGGCCTCTAAGAGCTGGAAGCAAACCTTGGCCAACAGCCAGTAAGAAAATGAGGCTCTGAGTCCTATAGCTGCAAGGAACTAAATCCTGCCAACAATGAGTGAGGAGCTCAGAAGAGGACCCCAGCCATAGAGGAGATCAGAACTCAGGCTGCCATTGTGATTTCAGCCTTGCAAGGCCCTGAGCAAAGAACTCAGTTATGCTACGTGCTGGCAACTGACCTACAGAACTTTGTGATAATAAATGGATATTGCTTCAAAATACTGAACTTACGGTAATACGTTATCAGCAACAGAAAACTAAAAAAGTGACCTTAGGTAAAACATAAAGTCCAGTCTTCACCCCTATAAGGTGAGATAGTGGGCTCAAAGGATTAGCTTTCTAACTCTAGAACACTATCTTTTTATAATTCTACTGGAGATCAAAATCAAACCTCAGTCAACAGAAAAAGTATTTTTTTAAACAGATAGCACTGAGGGATGATAGCTTTCTTTTGGAACATGGGGTTTATTCACAGTCTCCAATTGTAGGGTGTCATTAGAATGATCTGACATATTATTCTAGGTCTGGCACTTTTTGTAAGTATTTTGCACATTAAATAAAAACTTCCAGGCAGATTTACAAAGAAACATTTATTTTATGCAGTTGAATAAAATGGTAAGTCATTGAGCAATGGTGAGAAAGAGAAGACTTTGAAAGCGGAGATGAGTTATTAGAATAATCTGTTTCTCAACAGTGACCTTAAACAACAATGGTTCTGAGATGAAACCCTGGAGACCCTCTCTAATCAAACCAGTGTGGAGCTGAATTCCAGTTAACAGGAGTTGTATGTCTACCATATGTGAGGACCCAGAACAGGACCTTTTTCACAGGATCAGAACCCTTTGCAATTTTAGCTGCAGTGGGGCCTTTTGGAGAGTTTAGCTTGCAAGATGATGAAATTTTTAGCAGGTTCTCTGACCATCCCTTCAAAAGTGAATGAGAATTTGAACAGAACTCTATTAAAATACCCACTTGAAATGGTCTTGAACTGTATATCTCTCTTTCAAGAAAAAGGAAATACATAGAATTCCATCCCAAACAAATTGCCTATATTAGTTTCCCAGGGCTGCTATAATAAATGGCTAGGGGCCCAAAACAACAGGAATTTATTCTCTCACAGTTCTGGATGCTGGAAGTCTGAAATCAAGGTGCAGGCTATGCTCCTTCTGGAGGCACTAGGGGAAAAAACTTCCTCTCTCTTCCAGCTTCTGGTGGCTGTCATTCCTTGTCTTCCTTGGCTTTTTTTGTCACATCGCTCCGATCTCTGCCTTGCCTCCATATCACCTTGTCCAACACGCACATGTCTCAAATCTCCCTCTGCCTTTCTCTCATAAAGGAACTTGCCATTGCATTCAGAGAGCACCTGGATGATCTCCTTTCAAGATCTTTAACTTCATTACTTCGGCAGATACTCTTTTATCCAAATGAGGGACATTCATTGGTTCCAGGGAATGGCTTTGGGACATATTCTTTTGGGAGCCACCATTCAACCCCACTTCATTGACATTTTTGTTGTTATCTGTTATGGGTTGAATTCTGCCTTCTCTCCTACCACCCTGCTCCTCCCCACCCCCATAAATTCATATATTGAAGTCCTAACCTTAGTCCCTCGAATGTGACCTTATTTGGAAATCCAGTTGTTGCAGATGTAATAGATTAAGTTCAGGTGAGTTCCTTAAGGTGAACTCTAATCTAATGTGACTGGTGTCCTCCTAAAAGGGGGAAATTTGGACACAGACGCACACAGGGAGAACACCATGTGATGGTGAAAGCAAAGATCAAGGTGATTCTTCTACAAGCCAGGAAAAGCCACAGATCACCAGCAAACCACCAGAAGCTAGGTGGGAGGTGTGAAACAGATGCTCCCTCACAGTCCGAAGAAGGAACCAACTTTGCCAACACTTTGATCTTGGACTTCCAGCCTCCAGAACTGAGACAATAAATTTCTGTTATTTGAGCCACCGCGTCTGTGTACTTTGTTAGGGCAGCCCTAGCAAATGAATATATTATCCCTGCATAAACATCATTTTAAATAGTGCTGATCAAATTAAGATTTTGTAATCTATAATAATGTCGCATTTTATCTATCAACATTCCACTGGAATTATGTTGTTTTAATTCTTTAGTTTATAAATCATACCATAAAAAACCTGTAACTTTGGCCATATGGTATTTCCCTTTTTGTGGATTATTACCTTTGGATACATTCTAAAAAATGGGAATCCTTTACCAAAAATGAACAGGACAATAAAAAAAATTTTGAGTGACTAAACATTTTATGCCTTGGAAATGAGTTGTAACCATTTCCCTTCTATCTGCTGTGTGCTGAGTGATCTCAACACATTCTCACCAGCATTGGACAGCATCATTTCAAGTACTGTCATACACATTTTGAGAACACATTCAGATTTATTCTTCAGTGTGGGGAGGGGTAACAAAGCATCTATTTTTTTTTGTCTTAACTTTTCCCCTCTCTCTTGCTTTCAGACAGTCCTCAGAGGAAATCCGTCACAGTGTCTAGGCTATTCTTTGCTAAACACATTAACTGAAGAGACTTAGTAGAAAAGAATTCAAGATGGGTGTGAATTTTTTTTAATGCAAGAAATCACTCCTTTCATGCATTCCAACCTTCATGAATTACATTTTAATTATTTGTATTTATTAGGAGAATGAAGACAGCTTATAAGGCAATATTCCTTTTTGGCTTTTCTTAACACAGCATATTTCCTTGAGAATTTACCTTCCACCTTGTCCAAAGAATTAGGTTGGGCGTTGGCCGGTTTTCAGTACTTCCTTCCTGAGGACCCTAACGGCTCCACTCCCGTGCCTTGTCCGGCCCTCTACAATTCTTCCCTAAAGACGGATCCAGTTTCACCGTTTACAATTTAACAATGACCAAACCTAATCCCCCCAAAATCTACCAGGCTAAGAAACAAAAAGTCTTGTGTTTTTTTTTTTTTAAATCTTGGGAAGCGCCGCTGAGCAAAGCTGGCCCTCTGCTGTTTCTGCAGCCAGCATCTCTGATTCTTTCTAGTCTCTTATCCACCCACTCCCACCTGCACCCAACGCAGAGCCTGAATTCTGCCCTCCAAACCACGGGTATGAGCAAACCGCGCCTCCAGCCCCTCCTAGATTTCTAAAAGGACGCTGCCCTGGTTGATCATTGCAGGGCGCCTCCGCAGAGTCTGGAGCACGTACCAGAGCATCCCTCCCACGGGGTGTGCAGTACGGATGCGCTGAGTAAACTCGGATTTTTGGCTGCCTTTTCTTCTAGGGTGGATGGGGAAACGTGTGTCCTCCAAGAGTTCACGCCAGAACCTATGACTCTCTCTCTCTCTCTCTCTGTCTCTTCTTCCCTCCCTCCCTTCTCCCCTTTCTCTCTCAAGGTGCGGGAGCGCTCCTTCTTTTCCAGACCAGAGAGGGGCGCCTTTCCAACTCCACTTCCCCTCACCCACCGATTAAAAAATGAAAGGAAAAAAAAAAAAAAAAAGCCGGAGTAACAGCGAGTGGATCCGCTCGGCGCTCAATGAATGGAAGCTGCGGGGCGGGCCCGCGCGCACGGCCGCCCTCCCTACGATGCTCTCGCCCCCGGGCATGTAGGGCCCTAGCCGGCCCCTCGCCCTCCTCCCGCTGCGGGCAGAGGTTGCCGCCGGCTTCACGCTCCACGCCGAGACCGCGGCGGCAACGGGGAAGGTCGGAGGGAGGGTGGCTTCCTCCCGCCCCACACCCAGTCTCCGAGCCAGCCGGATATATAGAGTGTCACGTTTGGGAGCCGAAAGACTAGAGCAGTTTCCTTGTGGCTGGAGCGCTTCCCGCAGCCTCGGGGAAGGATCCGGATTGAGAAGACCACTAGTTGAACTCCACCCGGTGCCGGAGGAGCAGGTATTCCAGGGTCCGCAGCCCGGCCGCTCGCGGAGCCCACGCCTCCGGAGGCAAAGACTGGCTTGGGGGTGGCCTGGGAGGGAGGCAGGGCTCGGCGGGGTTGGCGAGGGCGGGGCGGATCCCTGCGGGGCCTCGCGGAGGGGAGCGTTTCCGAGGCGCTGCCCCCTGAAGATACCCCCAGCCGCACCCGATTCTCAGCTTGGGGGCTGGGCACCTTGGGCGCCGGCCTTGCCCGCCAAGGTGGGGCGCGCAGGGGGTGGGAACGGCGGCGCGCGGGGAAGGGCTGGACAGGGTTAACGTGGGGGAGCCGCTCCAGGACCGAGGGCAAGAGCCCCCTGAGCGGGTGTCGCCCAGGCCTCCTTGACCCCTGGGGCTATTGCTGGAGAGAGCGCGCGGACTCCGGGGCCACGTGTGGAGCGGAGCCCGCCTGGGCTGCCCAACCTGCACCGGGGAGCGCCGGGCGCCCTTCCCGGCCCCGGCGCGCGTCCTCGTGCGCCCCCAGCCCCGCCGGGGGCTGCGCACGTCCCGACCCTCCCACTGGGGCCTCGTCGAGGTACCCAGCCCGAGGATGAAATGGACTGGGCCGGCCAGGGCGGGGTCTGTCCCTGATGGAAGTTTTCGACCTCTTCCTGTGGCCTGGGCGTCGTGGAGAGAGCAGGGGAGCTGGGTTCAGAAGACTTATTGGAGTAGATGGCGTGCGGAACGGCTGCGCCCCAGGCAAGTAAGATTACCCGCGGAGCAATTCCATTCATTTAAAAGAATTCATGACCAACTTAATCCTAGAAACCATAGGAAAGCGTCCCACCTGCTAGCCTCCTGTTCTTTCACCTTTCGGCGTGGGTAGAATTATGGACACTTATTCTTCAAGGGATGGTGTGAGCAACCGAAGTTCTCGAATCTGCAAGAGCTTTGGCGGCTGGTTGAATCACTCAGCGTGCCCCATTGTGACATGAGCAAGGACAGAGTGGGGACAGCAGAGTGAATAGGAAACTCAAATGAACGGTGCTTTTCTACTTGTTTCAAGCTGCATCTAGAGAAGTTAGACGCTCTGTGCCAATGAAAATTTGAGAATTACCCTGCGGTTTCCATTACCCATCTCTCTCTATCCCCATTTATACGAGTTGGAGATTTGGCTGAGGAGCGTCTTTAGTCTCAAAGGGCAAAGAGGCTAAATCAAATATGAGTGCAGCCGCTCAAACTGCCGGAGCAGGCTTTTCAGCAAAATCCACATCTAGGGATATTTGTGTGTGAGACTTCTGGGAGATGGCCACAGGGTTTTAGCAGCCAGACTCAAGTGTGGCAACATTTCATCCGCAGTATTTCTCAGGATGTGGTCTTTAACGTACTCTTTCCTATTTCTGAGGACATCTTCTGCCCCTACTTTATTAGCAAATTCCTACCTTACTCCAATTTCTAACGTTGGATTATAATTATCTATAAGATAGATATAAATCACCATGAGTTGGTAAATCTTACAGTGATAGGTTTCTCCTTTAGTTAAAGGAGGGAATGTGGCATCTAATTACATAAGAAGAGGGAGAAGCTTCCTTTAGGAGTGAAAATAAATAGAATAGCTCATAGTTGGGTATCACTCTGAGGTTTATAAAGAATATGATCATCTTGAACATCTCACTAGTTGCTTTGCTATCTTCTGAAGATGCATTCTTGAGTGTATTTCTTTCTGGCAACATCTGGGCAGGCTGAAGAATTCTTTGTTTTTGTATTAATTCTCATCGACTGCTGAAAACTCACTCATCACAAACATCATCTCCTGGAGGATCATGCACAGTGACCACCAGCCTGCTTGTCCCTTCCAATCTATTCTGACATTGTCGCCTCTGTGAGAACATTTATTACTCTTGAAGAGCCATTCTTAATGCTTTATTTTGTTAACAGACCATTTTAAGAATTTGGTAAAAACTATGGAATATGAAAAACAAACATACGTACGTTAACACAGAATTCTCCCTGCAATTTCAGGCGTTCACAGCCTCCTTGATATGCAGCCACATAATTGTTAGATGTCCAGAGATTCCAGGCAGAGCCAGCTTCATGGAAAAGAGAACTGCGCTGCCCCACAGGGCCCTCCCACACTTGGTTTAATGTTCCCCTGTCACCATCAGCTGTCTTAATAATTTTCAAACAAGGAACTCCAGAATTCTGTAGCCAGTCCTGACCTCAGGTTAAGAACCCTGTTCTAGAACTTATTGAAAAGTGGTGTTGTCTGATGGCACTCCTACATTTCAGGTGAATTCTTCAACATACTTATGTCATTAAGCCCCTCTATACCCAGTTTCCTCATTGAGAAAATAAAGACAACAAATAGTATCTTCTACTCTATTCATTTTAAAAGGTGGTTGTGAAGCCACACTGCGTAAAAAGAAATAATAATTATAAAAATGTCTACTTACTTTGAACAGTTCTATTTTAACAAGATACTATTGTTACAGGCTTAACTTTCCTACTCCACTTTTCAGAAGTAGATTGAGGAAGGTCGGTTAAGTACATTAAAAGTGTTGCAGAAACTTTATAACTCTTATATTTTAGTGGGGAAAAAAAGTAGCTAAGGTATTCAATATTTTAAATATTTCTTAAATGTCATTATTTGGACAAGAATGGAAATAGCAGCAAAAAGTATAGAATAAATTCTTGGATCCCAAAGACAATTCCTGAATAACATTGATATTTGGGTCTAATTCATCCAAAAATTGAACAATAAGAAAATGAGTCCTGACTGCAACTTTTTAAGGAGACATTCCTCTTTGCTTTGTTAAAAATACTAAAATCCATATTTTCAAAATCTTGAGCAAGTCACTGTTTTAAATGTTGTAGGAGATGCTTAGCATAGAAAGTCATTTAGTTCTTTACCAAGTTGTCTTCACCTCCTCTAGCACTGGGGGAGGAGCTGAGAAACTTGGAGTAAGGCCTCTATCCCCACACTTCTCCATTAACTGCTTCTCTCTATCTCCAGAATTTATCTTTATCCCAGCTTCCATTCTTGGCATGATGGAACACACTCAGAAGGTTTGAGGAAGAAAATGGAGTGAAAGGAAATGAGTCAAACTCCCATATCAGAGTCTTACAATGGGGACACTAAAGGGGGGAGATAGAGATTCCTTCTTTCATGCAAGCACTCTGTGAATGTACCTTAGGATGTAAAGTACCAGGTCCTGTACGTGATAGATTGTGACATAATTGTCAGGACAAAATATGTAAACATAAAGTGTTAATTAACAATAGCAGATGAGTTGTTACAAGGCAATATAAGATTAAGGCACCAAATGAACGGTACAAAAAATAAGCACAATGAGTTCCCAAGAAGAGAATAAAATAAACTGAAATCATTAGTGAAGCTTAAGCAGAGAGTTCCATGAGATGTCCTTTAAAGTTCCACTTGGAAGAGAGATGAATGAATGAATTTTCTGGGTGAGAAGTGTGCAAAAAATGAAAATCTGGATGGAGCCAAAGTTTCATGTAAGGAAAAGGCAAGAGATAAAACTTTAAGAGAACTTTCCGCTGGCTAGCTTCATTCATGTAATAAATAATTATTAAGCCCATTCTGTGAACAGACACAGTCTCAATTTTACCAAATTTAGTGTTGAATAAAGCAGATGTGCTTCCTATCCTTTTGGAACTTACATTTAAAAAATAAACATATCATAACAAATGGTTGGAAGTAGTATGAAGAAGAACAGCATGCTATGAAAGGAAAAACCATGCTGTGACTCAGATTTGGTGCTCTGGGAAGGTCTTTTTGACAAAGAAAGATTTAAATTGATGTTTGAAAGAATAGGGGTTAGTTTGACCAAAAAAAAAAAAAAAAAAAAATGGAGGGAAAAGCATCTGGGCAGAGGAAATAGCAAATGGGAAGGCTCCAAGGAGAGGAAAAGGCTAAGTGTTCAAGGGACGGAATGAAGGCATGTGTGCTTGGTGAGGGAGTTGCTGAGAGTCTGGCCATGCATGTGGGGAGGTAGGCAGGAGCCTGACCGTGCAACACCTCACAGATCTTGATAAAGATTCTGAATTTTATTTTAGTGGGAATCCATTGAAGACTTTGAAGCCAGGGACCGTCTAATGATCTTTTAAGGAGATCTTTATGACTACAATAAGGAGAAAGGACTAGAGCGATAGAGGATGGGAAGTAGGAAGACCAGTTAGAAGAGAATGCAGGCGACAGCACTGACAGGGAAGATGGAGGGAAGTTGACAGACTTGAGATATATTTTGAAAGTGGAATTGATAGAATGTAGTGAATGATTGGATATGAGCTGGATGAGGCAGAAAGAAGTATGAGAATGAATTCCTTCAATAGCTACTGCTGAATGTTTATAATTCAAAACAATATGACTTAGAGTTGCCGCAAGAAGAACTGAAAAATGACATGAAAACGGACAACTCTGCTTAGTACTTCTGGAAAATACACCAGGCTGTTGGGATAGAGGTGAGAGAGAGATGGGGGGAGACATTTACATTTCATGCTGTAATTTGTACTGTGGGATTATTTTTAAACCATGCATGCATTTTATAGTTTTTTAAAAGGTTACCATCACAACAAACGTGGCTCCTGTTTTTCTGGCTTGAGCACATGAATGGAATATGGGATCATGTCCTAAAATGACAAAAACTAGGAGAGAAAGATCTGATCCTTACTAAAGCGATTCTTCTTAAACGCTCCCTCCCCTGCTTAAAACCTTTCCATTCTTCCCCCTTGTCTATATCAGCGTTTTCGAAAATGTAGTTGTTTGTGGGTCATTAGTTTCTTGGAATATTAGTAACAGTTAAGTAAAGAAAGACAAAGCTTCCCTGATCATATAAGTTTGGGAAGCACTTGATTTAACCTAGTTAAGCAGTTTTACTGCAGGAATTCTCAGAGCCTTTAATATACTAACATGTATTAAGAATCATCAAGAAAGAAGGGATATTTTATGTCACCTTTCCTAAACTTATTTGACTTTGAAATGCTTTTTTGGCAGGACGTCTAATACAGTCAGCATTGAGCGT